TTAAAATAACAAGAGAGTAAATTTAAATTAATCCAATTTTAGCAACGAAATCTTTTAACCTGCTTGAAATTTCGATACATAAACATAATCCAATCCTTGTTAAAGCCAGTTATACGAATTAACTCATTCAACGGTGGAGGTTGTGTATTGAATGGATTCGATAATAAATCTTCAATATCTATTTCCACGTCTATAAAATCTAGTTTCACTCATTATTATTGTTCTTATTATTGTTACTACTGTCGTTATTATCATTATTATTATTATTAATGTCGTTATTATTATTTACTATTACTATTTATTATTATTATTGTTATTTATTGTCATTGTTATTGATTATTGTTATTACTTGTTATTACTATTATTATTAATTATTATTATTATTATCACTATTACTATTAACATTATCATTATCTTCATCTTTATCACTATCATTGTTAGTTACTGCTGTATAATTCTCGTTTTTATTAGTAACAATAATGAGTATATTTGTTTAAAAAGGATACATCCGGAAATAATATTATTCCTTAGGGAATCAGAGTTAGCCATAGTTTTGGATAACTTCAAGATTAATAGTCCAGTGGTAGAACACCTATCATTATTACTTTTAAATTACTAAATCTACAAAAATATGTTATACAAAAAATAATTAATATAGTTGGTGGCATGAAAATGAGCCAAAAATAATATCATAAATGAAACAAATAAATTTAGCATATGTACAGTATACTGTAGACAATACGTCAAACTTACCTTCATCATAAAAACAAAACCAAAATTGTATTCTTCGACAGGTCCAATATAATAATTCACATAAACGATTTGACGGTAAATAAGAGGGTATATCACCAAAAAGCCTATAAACTTATATTTGAGAAATAATTTCCAGTTTCGAACGATTGAACCAATAATGAAATTAATTGCAACCTTTTAAGTTTATGATATTTTCCAGTATTTGATAAATATTGAGGATGAGTTTCCGGAAAACAATTCGTTTTCATATGTTTTAAAGACCTGAAATGATACGATATAAGAAGTAAATTAACTAAATTCCATTGTTGGCTGTTTTTTTTTCTACGCAAACTTGATAGAGTATGCAAAGATCGAGAACCATTCAAGCAATATCCATAATTACTAATAAACTCGAAATTTTAAATTTGTCATCAAATTTTGTTAACAATTTTGCACTTATTTCTCATTTTAATAATTTGTGAAAATAAAAAATAAAAACAATAATTTCTAAAATATTAGCAATGACTAATTTCCTTCATATCCTTCTTTATTTTTCATTTTAAGACAAACATTTCAGCAGGCTATTAATTATCAAAAATTGATAGTTATTTCTAGTCAACAATAAAATGATAATGCATTTTAATTATATCACTTTGACTTCAATTTTCTTCCTTTCCTTCCGACCAACATTTCCAATACATACTCTTCGAATAAAGAAAAAGAAGAAGGGAAGCTTAAAATGATATTTCTCTCATCTGATGCTTATCTTTTAAATAAGTATATTAGGAAAAAAACAACTATAAAATGATAATAAAATCGAGACAGGGAGAGAGAGAAAGAATGGAAGAGAAGATAAAAGAGAGATATACGATTAAATAGGATAATTGCAATAAGACGTGAAAGCAAAAGTAAGTAGCAACTAGTAATAGTAGTAGTAGTAGTAGTAGTAGTAGTAGCAGTAGTAATAGTAGTATTTGTAGTAGTAGTAGTGGTAGTAATAATAGTGGAAGTAGTAGTAGTAGTAGTAGTAGTAGTAGTAGCAGAAGTAGAATTAGAAGTATAATTATTGAAGGGTACAATTCCCTGAATAATAGTATGAAGGGAAATTTGGCAAGATGCTAAATAAGCGATCAACAACTGCAAACATAATATTTGCTAAACAACAAACGTGAGCATTCACTTTTACTTTTACTTTTCCTTTCACATTTGAATAGCATTTGAATTGATAAGCATTTATGTAAATGAAGTGTCAAATGAATGAATCAAACATATTGTAATGTGACACATTCATTTTTATTTGATGTATTAATTACAAAATGATCTTATAATGATCGAATAAGGATCAAATCCATGGGTTGATTATAATAAAAAAGATTTTCATATTAGAATAATTTCCTTTTTTTAGAAAAATAAAAGATAAAAGTTATTATTGTAAGTATTATATGATTGATAATTAATAGTGTTATTTTTGGTGCTACAATTTTTGTCATCATTATTTATTATTATTATTATTATTATTATTATTATTACTATATTATTATTATTATTATTATTATTATTATTATTATTATTATTATTATTATTATTATTATTATTATTATTATTATTATTATTATTATTATTATTA